CATCTGGTTCACCATGGAAGTTTTGAACCTCTGAGCTTCACCATTTTTCTTTTCTCTGTACCCCAGACTCTGGCTGTGACTTCCCTGAATGCCAGAACCACCAGTTCATTTAATTTTCACAACTCCGTAGCAATGTGAATGTTCTGCAGAAAAGAGTGGGAGGGAGGATTGTTAGCTAAATATTAAACCATCGGTGAAAAGGCTCTTTGGTTCTTTCAAAACACATTTTCCATTATTCTTTCATTTGCTAGTTTTTCTTTATTTCTGTCTTTGAACCAAAATGTTTCCTATTAAACCTGATTGTCCGTGCAGAGGGGATGTAATACAGATTCAATCTAATACTGTGTTAGTCCAGGTTGCCTAGAGAAACAAATCCAAGGAGACTCATATGTGTGTAAGCAATAACTTTATATCAAAGAGCAATTGTACATTAAGAAAACATCCCAGTCCAGATCAAGTTCATAAGTCTGATATAAGCCCATATGTCTGATACCAGTCTATAAGTTCCTCTTCAGACTCATGCAACACATGCAATGGAAGATCACAGGCCAGTGGATGTTTCCACTTGTGGATCCAGTGGTGGTAGAAGCATCTGGTAGAAGCGTCTCAGCACTTGTGTTGTTCTCCACGCGGCTCCTCCAGCTCTAGGGCTCTGGTTCCATCAGTGTAACTCCATGTGTCTTGTCAATAAGAATGTGTAGCACAGAGTGTGGGTTTAACCTCCAATGAGCTATTTATCTCCATTGCACCTCCAAATGATGTCATCAAGATGCAACCTGATTGACAGGCTAACCACGACCCCTCTACTCATAATGGTCTCAAGTTGACACCAGATTATGTAACCACCACAAATGCCAACAAAATGCATATCTAGTATGATCAAAATGATGTATTCAGAGATTTCCTGAGCAACTCTATTGGGGAGGAGTGAATTTCTTTGTGAGCAGCTCTGTGGGGAGGAGTTCCCATCCTCAGTCTTTCCGTGGCAGGGTGGCGCCACTGCATTGCTTTCTTTCTTGTATATGAAGAGATTACTTTCACAGCCCAAGTTTTGTTTTGCCTTGTGGTGTAGCTCATAGGGAGCCCTGGTGGTACAGTAGCTTACATATTGGGCTGCTAACCGAAGGATCGGTGGTTTGAACCCACCAACTGCTAGCTGCACGGGAGGAAGCAGCAGCAGTTTGCTTCTGTGGCTGTTACAGCCTGGGAAACGTTCCGTGAAGTGGTTCTACTCGATCCCTTAGGGATGCTGTAAAGTGGATGAGTAACAGCTCGTGCTTGGAGGGAAATGTCTAGTCCTTCTGGGGTGGTTACCCTTCAAGATCTACTGGGAACCTTCCTTTCTACCCTCCAAAGCTGCTGTCTTCAGGCTTCCGTGTACACAAGGGACAGCTGGGAAAGTACACATTTCTGGTCCCACTATGTTGATCCGGCCCAGCCTGGGGCTCAGGAATATAGAGGTTTCATGTCCACGCTAAGGTGGTGAGTGGCACGCAGATGGCAGCAGATCACACGCAGGGGCACTGGGTGTAGAGCCATCTCTGCCTCTGTGGAGTGGTGTCCCCGGGTGGCACAAACACTCACTACGCCACTAGCTGCAAATTCAAGAAGAGCCTCAGAAGAAAGTCCTGGTGACCTGCTTCCAAAAGGCCTTAGAAGCATAGACTCCCAGGGAGCACAGTTCTACTTAGACTGCACTTAGCGCCTTCCCATGAGGCAATGGTAGCTGCCTCCACCAACAACAGCCTCTCTCGGGTCTTTTCCCTCCTCTCAACAGACCCGTACCGGGGATGTCACCACCTCCTCATACCTAGCCTGGCTGCCTTCTCTGGTTCCGGCCATTCTCTTGGAAAAGTTTCACCCGATGGATATGTGCTAAATGCTAGGTGTTATGGGCCAGGTCTTGTGATAAACAACACTGTTGTAAAGCGGAAGTCCCGGTCCTGCTTCTCACATAGAAGTCACCCTCACCACTTGAATCCTGTGACTGCACCCAACAAGCAGTGGTGATAAGGGCCAGGGGAGGACCAGACATTTGGAGCCAGTCTTGCTTGCTAAATACCCTTCGTGGTCCACCTACCTATACTTCCTGCTTCAGGCTCTTGTCATATTTGACCTAGACCACTGATCTAACATTTCTGATGGCTCACCCTCTCAGGAGGTACTGTCTGCAGACCACACACTGGGCCCCAGGCAGGCCTTTCGACTCAGCCCTGTCATGAGACATCTCTCTGCCTTCAAAACGTTTATACGCTAATAAGGCAGGCATAATTCTCACACTTGACCAAGTGTGTGATATATAGTATTATGTATTATTATACAGCATACATGTGTAATAATTGTGCGATCAGATACAAGTGTTGCAGGCAAGGAGGAGATCGTGACATCTGGGGTAACACTGGATTTGATCGGAATTTGGAGTAAGAATGAGTCGGAGTAAAAAACGTCGTGTTTGGGAGTCCTAGGAGAGAAAGTAACATAGAAGAAACAATAGCCGGTTTATGAAGAGTTTTCAAAGCCGAGTTTGGTACAGATACATTGAACAATAAAATATTTTGAAGCTTATTTTTCCAATGATCCTCTGGTCTTGAAAGGGTTGTTCAGATTATGTTCCTGACTAAGAGTTGGGAGGACAAGACTGGAGAGCTGGTTTCTGGACATTGGTAGTGACCAAAACCATGCCCTTGGCATCAGGGCAGGAGCCTCGCCTTCTAGCTCACCCTTGAGGCACTGCAGGGTGGATCCTGTCGCCAACCAACTGGCTGTGTCTCATCTCCTTGTCCTTTGGCAAACTGTCCTCCTGGAGGGGAATTTAGGATTTGATATTTTAAAGGAAATTAAGAAGTTTTCCTCTACCCTGAAGTGCCATATACACAGGAAAAAATTTAAATCTTTAGTGGTATCTGCCACTGGCTTTTAAAATAAAACTTCAACTCATCAAAGTGATCGATGTAAAGCACCACCACCACCACCACCACCACCCGGGGGGGAATGAACAATAGAAATGGGTGGAAGGAGAGAGTAGACGGTGTAAGACATGAAAATAATAATTTACAGTTTATCAAGCGTTCACAAGGGGGGAGAGAGGAGCTCTACAAGGGCTCAAGTAGAAAGAAAATGTTTTGAAAATTATGATGGCAACATATGTACAAATATGCTTGATGTAATTGATGTATGGATTGTTATAAGAGCTGTAAGAGCCCCGATAAAATGATTTATAAAAATTAAATTAAATTTCATTCCCTACATTATTGCAAATATTGCCAGTGTATGTCCATTTGCATACAGACACAAATTCTCTCGCATCTAATAGGTCAATGCTTCTTTTTTAAAAACCATGTCCTAACGTAAAGCCATGTTAGAGGATTTACCCCACCCCTACCTGAGTTCCTCTCTCCAGGCACTGCTGTGCATTTCACAGCCTTGCCTGCAACCCCCTGTTACTGTTGTCTCATAGGAAGGGTGTGCGTGATCCCACTAACAAATTGTAAGAGCAGAGACAAAAGGGGGGACACGGCACGATTCCTCCTGTGACGTTATCCGTCTTGTCCATTGCAGATGTATTTGCCCTGATCAGAGAGTGCCACCTGTTTCATGGCACCTGCCTCCCTGGCTCCGCTTTCACCGTCAGGAACTTCTGGGCATTTCATTTACCCAGGGCTCGCCCATGCGCAGACTTCGCGTGTCCTCCTATCTGTGCCCAGAAAGCTGGCCATGATCCTTTTTCTGTTTTCTTGTTGAGGTGCACAGGCTTTCGACGATAGGGTGTTGAAAGGCTGTGAGAATGCTCCCTGAACTCTTGCTTCATGAAAGCTCTGGATTGGAAATGAAGCACTGCCCTTGAGACACAACCTTTTTATGACTGGTTTCTTCACAAATATATATATATACATAAATACATGTATGTGTATGCACATGTTCATACATATATGCACGTGTGTGTATAGCCCCTCAATGGCTAACGTTTAATGCAACTATAGAAAATAGGCTTATAAAACAGTTTAATGAGTAAGCCTTGGGAATATATGAATACACCTTACATAATTTATTAATATGCATTTTTGTATTAAGTGGAAAGTGGCACATATGTGCTGTTTAAATTGTCTTGGAAACACTTAGGGCGGTTTCACCTCATCCAAACTCTTGCTGTTTATTAACACTGACTAGCTAGCAATGAATTTGTCTTTTGTATTCTTTTGATAACTTTTAACTGAATAATTACCTAAGGTCAATAAAGTTGAAAGGAATAAGACCCTCTCCTACTTTGGAGGGAAAAGCAGGAATGGGCTCATCAGTAGACTATTATTTGATAGGTTTCAGAGAAGAATTATTTCTTCCGAGCATTACTTGTTTCAAAAAGGGTAAAACACACAAGCAGATTGTTTATTTGTTGAGATAGAAAGGGGGGAATAGACAGCATTGCTGGGTGGACATGAACCCCATGTTGTGTGCTCTTGAAGCAAGGTGCTTGACTGTTCAAATGGTGCCTGGCCTGCCGAGGGGCCTGTCCAGAGGAAAGATCCCAGGCTTGGTGACACTTAGGCCTAATCAAAGTCTCTGAAGGAGTTTGCTGTGAAGAAAAGCTTTGGCTATACCTCTGGTGCCTGGCCTGCCAAGGGGCCTGTCCAGAGGAAAGATCCCAGGCTTGGTGACACTTAGTCCGAATCAAAGTCTCTGAAGGAGTTTGCTGTGAAGAAAAGCTTTGGCTGTTCCTCTGGTGCCTGGCCTGCCGAGGGGCCTGTCCAGAGGAAAGATCCCAGGCTTGGTGACACTTAGGCCGAATCAAAGTCTCTGAAGGAGTTTGCTGTGAAGAAAAGCTTTGGCTGCTCTCCTGGCGATAGGGAAACACTAACGTGAGCGAGTTGTTAAGAGGTAGTACCTAGGCACAGCAAAGGAGCTCAAAGAATTAAAGTCATTCATCATAAGGGGTTCTTAAAAGCACTGTACTTTTTTTATTGATTTCTTTTCTGGAAACTAAATGGCTTAACCATTTCCTGCAGGAGGAGCAGTTGAAATCTCACGAAAGCAAGTTGAAGCAGATCACCACGGAGTTGGCTGAGCACCGCTCATATCCCCCTGACAAAAAGGTGAAAGCCAAAGAGATGGATGAGTACAAACTGAAGGACCATTATCTGGAGTTTGAGGTATGTTGCACCAGCATATAATCAATGCCTAGAACTGAATGATGCCTTACCCAGGAGGCAGTTCTTTATTTTTATATTCATACATCTGTTATAGTTACTGTAACTAGGAGCCATGCCTTGGCTGTAACTTGGGGGGCTGAAGAAGCAGATACCTATACTTTATCCTGGATTATGGACTATGGTACAGAAGGGCACTGCATAGTTGTCTTTTTTTTTTTTTTTCTGAAAGGGCAATAGGTCAAATAAGTGTGGGAACCTCTGATATACCCAGCTCTCTGTATCCTATCTTCCGGGGCTGCCACATCAGACGATCATAATTTGAGGTAACCCAGTGGCATCAGTGTCTTCCAAATGAGGGCTCATGAATTTTCTGACTTTTCCATCCCCAGCTCATAAATTCAGAAGTCTATGGTGTTTTTTTTTAATTCTGTATTAATTTTTAATTAATCTGGTGGAAACACAAACATCCTCATCCGGGCAACCCATTGATGGAAGCTCTAGAAAAACAGATGAAATCAAAAAGATGATATAACATGATGATTAGCCCATTGGATTTCTTAGTGCTGTTGTCTAAGATTATGCTTTCTTTGATCGAAAGAGCCAAGGTCAACAGTTCAAGTCCACTAGTGACTCCATGAGAGAAAGAGGAGACCATCTGCTCCTATAAAGATGTATAGCCTCAGAAACCCTATATGGGTCACGACGAGTTAGAATCCATTTATGACAATGGGTTTGGTGGGTTGGATTTGAGAGTTTCTGTGATCAAGGCAATTCTGAACAAGGAGAGCCTGGATGATTCACAGGACTGCTTTCTGCTGTGCACACACCTCTGGTGAGTCTCCTCCCAGCTGCCACCTGGACCACTCGCCATGGTAACATGCAGGGAGCTGGTGAATGGCTCCACAGTGTCTGCCTCCTCTACATTAGCCACACCAATGCCAGGCTCTGCAATAGCAGCCTGCCAACAGTCTGATGACTCAATCCACTGGGCTCAATTTGCCCATCGAGCCTCCAAGCAGCAGCTTTTTCCAGCTTATCGTTGCTATTAGACCACGGGGATGCATTCTTACCATCCACTGACCGTCGTATGGATTGATGAACTAGAATGAGGAGATTTTACCATATATACTCGAGTATAAGTCGACCCAAATATCAGCTGAGGCACCTAATTTTACCACAAAAGCTGCATTAAAAATGTGCTGAAACACGCAGCTTATACTCAAGTATATACGGTGTATGCTCTGGCATAGGGAGGTAGGACATTTTAAACTAAGCTGGAAAAAGATGTCTAGTAGGAGACCAACCATCCGTAGTGCCAGCAGTTAATTGCTCAGCTATTTGCTGAAAGGTTAGTGGTCCAAACCCCCTCAGCAGTGCCTGGGAAGAAAGCCCTAGTCATTTGCTTCCCAAAGGTCACAGCCTTGGACACCTTTAGAACCCGTCTCCTCTAGGCAGGAGGTCACCAGGAGTCAGAAGTGATTCAGTGGCAACTGATTGTAATGAAGGTGACCTTGAGCTGTTTTCTCCCTATGGTCGGAGTTTCAGGGGGTCCTTGGACTCACCCCGCTTCAAGCATCAACTTAAAATATGAGAAATGCTTTTTTTTAAACTAAGCAGCATGGAAGTCAATGAGGAAAAAAGTGTTAACTTTTCACAAAATCTTTTTCTGGTGGATATGCAGAATGTGTACTTTATCATTCTTTCTCCCCGGGGCTCTATTCTCTTTTACTTGATAGGAGGAGTGACAGAAGTTATCCTTCCTCTCCTGTGTGCCTCCTCCAGCTTGAAACCCGAGAGTCACCAGAGGCACCCCATTCCCCAGGGCCAGTCCCACTTTAGCCACTCGCAGCGATCTGCTGGCTGGAGCACACCCTTCCTTACAGGGATGTTTCTTGTGTCATTTCTTTGCTGACTCCTGATCTTCTCATCTGTCACCAGGACCTGGTGCTTGACTCCTAACTGCTCCTCCATTCTTCATTCCCTCCTACAGATGTCTGCCACTTATTTTTCCAACGCTCAGCCCAGATTAGGGTGTTGTTCTGTTCAATAGACACCCTTGATCATCTCTTGGCGCTTTCTACCACCTATTTGCAGGATAAAGTCACATGCTTTAATCTGAACAGATGTAGCTTTCATCTGTCTTCCCAGCCAGTCTCTCACAGCCGCCCTGCCTACTCACTCCACAGACACACTTTAACGCCATCGATGTTCTTCTACCCCATGTAGTTCTCCCCTTATCTTCATTTTGGTGAGCCCTGCCCGTATTTCGGGGTGCAGCCAAAGGCCTCCTATTAAAGCCTGCTCTAAACCAGTTGCTGGAATTCGTCGGTGACAAAAGTCGCCACAATGTGCCTTTGTTTGGAATTGTGTTTGTGTGTTTGGATCTGTGGTGGGCACTATGCTACCCCTCCCCAAACAAGATATGAGCCTTTGTCGAGCAGGGATTTCATCCGTCTCGTGTCTAGCCTTTGCTTTACACATAGCTTGTTAAAGTAAGTAAAACTTCCTGGAAACTTCCAATAGTCTCTTTCTGAGACATTGAACTTCTGTGACCTTTGATCCACAAGATGTTGCTTCTCTCACAGAACCCGCCGTTGGCTTTCTTCATGGTTCAGGGCCCCTGGCTCAATGGGAAGATCAGAGCTCTTCCTCTTAGTGAAGGTGAAAGCTTGTGAGACCAAGTTGTTCCTTCCCAGCAAAGACTGGTTGGGGGAGGATGTGTCTTTCTCTCAGTGTTTCTCTTCTCTTGGGCCTGTTCTTTTGGGGAAAATGGGAGTTCTCAAAAAGCAATCATTATTCCTCACACTTTGGGAGCAGCTTTCAGCCAGCAGAGGCCCAATGGTTCCAAACGTGCTAATTACATTTCCCAACACCTCTATCCCCTGCCTTTGTACAGCATGCACCGTGCTTGAGCCCTGGATTCAGAAGGTTAGGAGGCTTTCCCCAGGAGGTAGGGGGGAAGAGGGGCTAACGACCAGGGAAGAGACACCCCCACATACTAGAAGTGCTCCCTGATTTTACAATCCATTGTGATGCTCATTTGAAATGAAAGCCAGCAAGATCCAGCATCTTCATTTCCTGATGTGAACTTAGATGAAGTCGGTGGGATTACACATTGCTCTCATCAAATGTTCACCTCAAATGGCATGAATATCACATTCCCAGACTCTTGGCTCATTAATGTCAGCTTCTTTTTTTTTAATCGTTTAATTAAGGGCTCATACAACTCTTATCACAATCCATACATACATCAATTGTGTAAAGCACAGCTCCTCATTTTTCACCCTCCCTCCCCGCTCCACCCTCCCTCATGAATCCTTGATAATTTATAAATTATTATTTTGTCATATCTTGCACTGCTTGACGTCTCCTTTCACCCACTTTTCTGTTGTCC